TGACAGCAGAGTTAGTATACGGGTATTACTCACGAATCATAAGTATGGTCCCGCTATATGTTTTCAGATATCTTTATAATTGGTAGGAGTTAGTTTTCTTTTGTAATAAGTCTTCCTGTAGGGTATTTCAGTAATTGTTCTGTTTTGTTTTACCCGTTCATCAAAAATTACTTCACTGCAATTGACTCGACTCGATTCGACTCGTCTTAAAACACTCCACTCCACGTGCGTGACACGCTATTGTCTTAAATGTCATATTACTAATCATCGCAACATTATTCAAGGTTATTACGAGGATACCCAAAAGTATGCACGAAGACAGTACAGCGAGAGTATCGACCGACGCACAGCACACTTCATGAGAATGCCGAAATCCAAAAAGTTTAGAACAGAATCAGCGAACCTCTTTGTGTTGAGTCCGGTCAAAACTGGGTGGCAGCCATGTTTGTTTTTATTATTAGAGGACGCTTACGCGCGTAATCATCCCATATTTGGAATTCGCATTTCCTAATATGGTAGGGTGAAAATACCCCGCAAAGTACCGCAAAATTACGACACGCTGTAACTTATGGCGTTACGGTGACAGATTAATAATAATAGTCTTTATCTCAATTAATCAAGATTGTTCAGTGACAAGGTCAGTCACTATGTAGATAATCAATGATATCAGGTCAAAATCCACCAGTACTTGTGCAGAAAACACACTTCCGTTGACTTCACAGGGCGTGTATTCGCACCTGACTGACCAACTGCTACTATTTTAGTAGTCATTTCAGTAGTCATTTCAAAATGACACAATTTGAAGCCATTTTGAAAAGCGTCGGTTCTTTTGGACGTTCTCAACAAATTCAATACGTTTGTATATTGATCGTGACTGGCGCTACAGCTTTTTATCAGATGGGCAACACGTTTTACAGTGCATCAGCTGACCATTACTGTCGAACACATAAGAACCAGACGTACGAGACCAACTCCAAGTTGAAGAATTGTACTATACCATACAGTTATAGTGAAAGTGAATGGGAGCAGTGTGAACGTTACGATGTCAACGTATCCCAGGGGGATCCAGTAGAGACCTGCTTTCCACGTTCTGGAACAACTGACTGTGACGGCGAGTGGGTTTATGATGACTATTGGTATGAAAACACGGTTGTTTTTGAGGTAATTTATGTTATCACAACTATATGTGTGTCATGACATGCTACGCTATCTATGAAGTGTAGACGTGTCTAATCACTTTGATTATAATTATGTCCATTTTTAAATAAGATATAGATATGCTTTTAGAATTGCAACAATTTACTGTATTATTTATATTATGTATTCGTACAGGTACCCACCATCACCTAATGTAATATATATACATCTGTCACACGCGATCATACGCTATGATATGTCTTTCCTACCACGAACAAATCACATTTAAATCAACGATTGATTAAGGCTGTCAGATGAACCATGGTAACGTTAGCACATGTATACGAGGCTCGTGCGATACGATGTGAACCTCTAACCAGTAGGTTGATGTTTATCGCCATTGTAAATGTGTTGTTGTTGTTGTTGTTGTTGTTTTCAATTTATGAAAAACGTGATGAAATATCGATGGTTTGTTGCATTTAAAGTATGCTTTTAAATGTAGCGTGCTGCGGAGCAGTCACCTCTGGGAGAAAGGTATAGTAAAAGTATAGTAGAGCCTTGGTCCCCTATTTCTGTAAAGGAATAGATCCCTTCGCTACTTTGTACTGGAAACATGATTGTCACAGACTGGACATGCGACTAATAATTACACTATGTCATAAGGTTCATAAGAGAAGATTCTACTCCGACACTACCGCAATAGGTTACTTGGAAGCAGTCTGAAGATACTTTGTCACAAGCATTGAAAGAGTAAATTGCCTGGTACATGAGCATACTTATTCACTAAAAAAGATCATTCTTGAGTGCACTTTGAATTTCAATGGAAACTGAAACCGAATACATTTTACTGGTTCTGCACGTGTCACATTTTTTTGACTTGAGTCTTAACCCGGCTACCACAATCTGTCCAATACTTTTTCCAAACGTCTAACTCCACATATTACATCTCTGCCGTACATGATAATATCGTCTAAGGTATAGGAACTACAACTTGGTTCAATAATACTGGCTTTTAGCGTCTTTTCTACTTCCAATGCAGGTCTCTGCACCACATGTATACGTTGATATGGTTTTCTAGACATCAGTGTTTCTGATGCCCAAGTATCTATTAAAAAAATATCTTTGCAATCCACCAACTTTGTCTGCCGCAAATATACCACGTGTCGCCCTAGTATGGTCATGTACGGTAGGGAGGGGTCTACTTTCCTTTTCTGAGGAGTCACACTATCTGGTCCCTCTAGTTTCTTTTCCACTGGCTGTGTACCCTGCCCCCTCCGTCTCTGCACCATTTTTACTGCTTGTTGGGGTTGCCTGGGCCTGTTTGCATTTCTGATCCAGCCTTGGTCCCTGGGGTTAGTTTTGATGCATTTCCAGCATATCCGCTTGGTGGGGTAGCGCAGTTTCTCTTAATATGCCCCCGTCTACCACATCTGTAACACTCAATTCCTATCAGACTCCACCTTTCTGGTCTTCTATCTTGTCACCCACTGCAAGGCTGCTCTGCTATTGGGCTTGGATGAAATTGTCCTACCCCCATTTCTTATATTCCTTCATTCAGCTCTGAGTCACAATCAGCATTCAGCACTGCTAATTTTGGAGTATTGTTCAGCCAGTCCAGTGTGACTCAGTCCCCATTGCAGCCTGTATGGCCTGGTCAAAGTTTTTTGGTCTCTTATTTCCTTCTCAGGGATTGCATTTTTAAAATACTGCCTGTCCAGCCTTTCTT